GATGGAACCTTTTGTGACCCTAATGACCAGAGACAGTGAAAAATCATCAGAGAAGCATGCTCATTCCACTATCAGAAACATTAATTCTGAGATGACAGTCCTCTACAATTTTGTGATCAATATATAAGTTGAGACCTGGGTTGTGCTTAGGAGAGTAGATTGTCTCCTGGAGTCCACAGGGGGCTACTGTATCATTGATGAAATTTGGCAGGGGCTGCCATTGGTGCTGTGGTTTGATGTCAGTGGCGTTAGCTCTCTGTGATGCAGGAGGTATCAGAGCTCCAGGAACCCATCTGCAGCACCAGAAATTCAGTGCTTAACATTCTACAGTTCCACTGAATAATCCTTTCAACTGAGGACCCTGTTAAAATGTATTTGCAGAAAGAGCACACAATAATGCATCCAAACAACAGATGTGAGCTTGAAAGAGAAATGCAGTGCATATCACAGGTTTGCACTGTTGCATGAATGTATTGTTCTTTACACTTCCTGGAGCTAGGTACAATTCTGGAGCTAGGTGGGATTATATCATGTGAGTATTCAGCGGGGCAATCAGTGCAATTTTACTTTGTGGCAGCTCTCAAGGGCTAATGATAGCCATGCAGCAGTACTGTGAAGCAACTCATTCTCCATAATAAATCTTGAAAATCTGTGACAGCCAGTGTTTTACAACAGTATGTGCTTGGTTTGTTCGCTTGGTTAGGTTTTTTTTTTTTTTTGCTGCTGCAGAACCTGTAGAATTTGAATTATCTATTTTGTTTTACAATTTATATATTTAATAAACATTGATATCTGCTTTGTCACATACAATGATTTAATTTCTTACATCCTGCTTGTTATTGGGATAATATGTGTCTTGATTTCATTGATTTTGTTTTATTTCTCAAATCATTTATTTAGATTTTATTTTGTAATGTTGCTTATTTTATTATGCTGTAAACTGCCCAGAATAGTGCGTTTCACTGATGGGTCAGTATACTAACTAAATATTACACAATGTTATTACATATTAATTCATTATTTATTGAATTACCCATCAATACAGTTTTATTAAAAGCAGAGTTTATTTCCATTTACATACTTTACACACTACATTGGTACCAAAATGTGACTTCAAGGTGTGCTAGGCATTTTCTTTTGAAGTTAGCAGGAATCTTCAGCTTAGACTACAGTTTCCTAGGCATATGTTAAGTTTGTGAAAACGTCTTCTATATCTTTCATAAAATAATTTGCATTGTTGCATATCTCTTTCCCCTCCAGTAATGGGGAAGAAAATTGTTCTGTAAAACAGCTGCTCAGAATGAGAAAAAAAATCCCCTTTGTGTAATGAAATTTGCCTTATCTATCCATGCACTTGGCTTCTTCCTTGCTTCCAGGCAGATTGTATGCTACTTCTAGCTTCCTGCCTATCTGGAATTTCTTTCTGTTTTTTTCCTTCTCTTTCCCTCAAAAATAAGCAGAATTCTGAGTGGCTGTTGGACATGAGGCAACATTTTATTCATTTTACTGAAGTTCCCTGTATGAAACTCTGAAATGATGGGACAAGAAAAATATTGTTTCTGCAAAGCTACTCTGGCTTCCCTTGATAATATGCAAAGGTTCCATTATTCTGAAGGGGGCTTGAATTTGTGCACTGAAGAGACAGTAATATCATAAATGGGAACACACATGAGGCAGAAATTTCCAGTGTCATTAATTGTAGCAAATGAGCTCCTGATATGGGAGGCGGCAGTCCTCCCTTTTTTTGGCCCTCTGGCCAAAATGCACTTTATTAAATTGAGGCTGTCACAGCTGTGTTGCTTTATCTTTTTTCCATTTTAAGTGGACATGAAACATAAAGGATTGATAAATGAGTAAGCATGACCTCAGTGTATTGTAAAAATTTAAGCACTTACTAAAATGTCATCTAACAACCTTTGGCTTATTATTTTTCAGAGACTGTGCTCATGTGCATAAGCTAAGGGCTACAAGAGAGGGATACACAAAATAGCATTTAAAGGGAATAGCTTAAGTTTATAAGAAATGAAAATACTGCAGGTGGTTTATTTGTATTTTTAGGCCTAAAAAGTAGGGTTTTTTGTTTCCATGTATCCAATTCAGATAATAGCAATTAGATCAATGGGATTTAAATTGTTATTATGACTTACTTGACCCAATGATTTCAGTGAAACTTGTGTTCAGCTAACTTTGCCTGGCTCTTGCTCATTATTTCTAAACATAGTAAGTTATCTCTTATGTCAGGTACAGTGGACCCTCGACTTACGAAGGTCCCTACTTACAAAAATTTTGAGGTACGAAAAGCTCTGGCTGCAAAATTTTCATTCGACTTGCGGCCGGAGCTTTGACCTAGGAAAGGCAGGGGGAAAGGGCGGGAAATTCAAAGCCGCCCCTGCTGCCCTCTGACTCCCATCCCCACTGCACTCTGTCTCCCATCCCTGTTGCCCTCTGCCTCCTGTCCCCACGGGGACAGGAGGCAGAGGGCACCGGAGACAGGAGGCAGAGGCCAGCGGCTGCAGCTTTGAAAGCCCAGGAACCCGCTCCGCGCCCACTGCCAGCTTTTGGCTTCCCAGGTTTCCAAACCTCCTTTGCTGCCCTCTCCCTCCTGTCCGTGGGGACAGGAGGCAGTGGGCAACAGGGACAGGAGGCAGTGGGGGCAGCTTTGGAAGCCCGGGAAGCCGAAAGCTGGCAGCAGGCGCAGAACGGCTTTCAGCTTCCCGGGCTTCAAAACCCTGTCTGCTGCCCTCTAGCCGCTCCACGACCACTGCCAGCTTTCGGCTTCCCAGGCTCCAAAAACCCCTCCGCTGCCCTCTGTCTCCTGTCCATGGTGCCCTCTGCTTCCTGTCCCACAGGGACAGGGGCAGAGGGCACCATGGACGGGAGACAGAGGACAGCGGAGGGGTTTTTGAATCCCGAGAAGCCAAAAACAGGCACGGATTAAATGCTGGAATGGATTAAATGGTTTTCAATGCATTCCTATGGGAAATGGACCCTCGACCTATGGACTTTTTGACCTGCGGCCACAGTTCCAATATGGATTAATTCCGTAGGTCAAGGGTCCACTGTATTTCCTATGTAGCTTATGGAATGTTAGCTACCACTGCTAAAGAAGTAACATTTTGAGGCTTCATGAGCAGATATTATTTGTCTTGTGGCATCAACAGCCTTATTTTGGGACTGCTAATGTTTAATCCAGAATTTATGTCCTGCTTTGTGGCCTTAGACACTAGATTCATGTGAAGTTAATGCACATATACCATCATTATGCTTGTTGTCACTGTCTGATAGCTGTACACTGTGATAAGGAGTGCACTTATTGTGGATGAAGTCTAATGAATACATCTGGACCTAGTTAATCTAGAATGTGTTTCACTCATATTTTGTAGATGTTTGGTAATCAGAGTATCCATTTCACATAACTTCCCTCTCTGGCTCCCATGCCTTTGTTCTATGTAACTTCTGTTTCTTTCTCACTAGTTAGGCAAATGTAGCTGCTTTTCGCTATTTTATCACACACATGGTTGCACCTGATTAATTGTAAGTGAAATCTGAAGTGCTCATCACTTTCAATTACATTTCATATACATTGCATAATATCTTTTAGGTTATTATAACAATGAACTCTAAGGCTTTTACTGGGCACTCCTAATAATTCCATTAGAAAGATTGTCCATTCATAATGCATTAAGACTGTTGCAGGCACTTAGAAATTTGCAGTGTTTTTGATTCACTACTGAAAGTGTATTAATGAAAACATTTAATTTTTAAATTACAAAACTACCTCAGACTCCCTTCACTTATTCCCCCTTGAAAAGCAAAGCAAGCCAGAGTACAACTTTGTTTTAGACTTACAGTGATAGTATAAAAGATGTAAAGAGAAAATTTATATTAAAAAGGTGTGCCTCTTTTCAGGAATTTGATATTTAAAACCGTTAGAATCACCTATTTTTATCTCTTCTGTGTGCATAATCAGACTGCTTGGTGTGGTGGGATAAATTAGAAACCAATATAAATAAATGTTGCGGGGGATGCTTGATCACACAGATCTTAGTGCAAGCCATAATTAAATCCAGAATGATTTCCTTCTCATTAGAATGATAAAACAATGGCTGCCAGACTCAGAGACCAAATGATGTTTTAAAATCTTGGCTTGTTTCAAAGAAGCCACAATTTCTCAGGTTCGGATGAAATGAGAAACAATAGCAGATACTTCCTTATTTAATAATGATGGGGTTTTTTTGGTTTTGTATTCATTGATCCTTTTAGTATTGTATACTCATTATTACTAAGTTAAATACTGTCTTTTGATTATTGTAAGCCATTTTGGGTCATTTTAAAGGGGAAAGGCAAGTTAAAAATATTTTAAATTTAAATAAATAAATAAATAAATGTGGCTCACACAAAGGGAAAATTAAAGGAAACAATGAATGAGGAGCAAAGGGTCATTCATATTTTGGCTTTAACTGATGCGATCATCTAAACCAGCTCATTATGTGGGAGTTGGGGCTGGTCAGCCACTGTTGAATTTTGTAACTTAGCTGTAGTTCAGGGACTACATGGAGTTGTTGTGAGCATGCCTGAAACCAAGAGCGTTGCACGTGAAAATCTGGTTTCAAAACTTAGTTTAAATACAGTATCTAGTCATGTAGATATGCTTTTGAAAATGTATGTGTATGTATTTGTAGACCTGATGTTGGAGGAAATAATGTATATGTTGCATGAAGTCATGGGGAATTATTTTTATTAATTATTTTTTAAAATAAACTTTATGACTGGCTCCAGTGCAGAAAGTAAAGAGATGATTTCTCCAAATATTAGTATGACATGTTGTATCAAGCTTTTGATCATTGTTTACTGGTTTTGTTCTTTCCTCCCCCTTCCCCACTGGCATTTAACTGAATAGTCACAAGACTACAGTTTTCTCTTATCATTGTAATTTTGTTTTCAGTTCTTAATTGCCCCCTACACACACCTTTATTTTACCCCCTTTTCTCTCCCTTTAGTGTTAAGATGGTGCTGATGTGGACAAGCGGTGACTCCTTCAAGACTGTGTACTTCCTCCTGAACCAGGCTCCCTTCCAATTCTCTGTTTGTGGACTCCTCCAGGTCTTTGTGGATATGGCCATTCTGTTGCAGGTTTACTTCTACAGCTGGCACCCACAGAAGCCAACTTCACACACAACACACCCAGCTAGTACAAAGGCACTTTAAAGCACACAGTGGAGGCAGCTGTAACTTGGAATTTTTGGAGCCAGGCTTGCAGGATAACGTCTTCTAACTGCAGTGTTCCTGATAGGCTGGATATAGAGTCAGAAATGGAAGCCTTATGTGGGTAACATTATCTGGCATTGTTTTTAATTGTTAGTTTTCCTTGAGTTGCATATTTAATGAAATGGGTTTTCCTCTTTGGGGCTCCAGTAAAGGGGTCTTTTTTTACACTTCTAGTTTTGTTGTGGGGAGGAGGATATGTTGACACACCTGAATCTTAATTCATTTCACTTGACATTTGTGCACGTGTGTATCATAAGGGCTGGATATTAATATTTTCAGTGCTATTTTTTTAAAAAAAGGTTAGTCACAAGAATCAAGAGTATTTGGGCTGAAGCTTTGACCTATTTATATAAAATATGTATATTGATAGTAGTTTCAGAGTATGTTATATTTCAGAAATGAATGTTGAAGGCAATGTATTCATCATAAGCAAAAGTGCAAAATCATTTTTATAAATGATAGATATGCTTGATCAGAGGTAGAGGAGCTGAAGCTAGGAAGATTTGGTGAATGATGTAAAAAAGTATTTTATTCAGTATAAATGTGTTGTTAATCTATATATCTATGTGCACACTGCTGGACCAGTGTAATCCATGAATATATAAAAGTGAGACGTATGATGCTTTTGCCAAATATGGTGCGGGAGCAGAACTTGGTGGCATGGGGGGGAGGGGAAAGAAGGAAGAAATCTTAACACAGTGTAGTAGAAGTCTTGTTTCTAAAATGGCTGCACTCAATAGAGGGCTAAAGAGAAGTGTGGGGATTGGAAAAATCCAGTAGAAGCTTTGCTGAAAATGATAGATGTAGCAGTAGCAATGTGGCAGTGGTGAAGATAGAAACTCAGTGTGCAGCTTAGACCTCATCTACACTCTTTGTACCAGAATAGTAGGCTTTTCTTTAAAAATGAAATTATATACTAAAGGATGAGAGAACCATCAGAGGAGAAGAAGAGTAATATAACAACGTAGGGATAAGTGACTGTACATGCCTCTTTTCTAAGAGGAAAGCTAAAGTGAGAGATTTTTCTCAGTATTCTTTAATGCCAAATTATGCCATTTTCTAATTTGAGGGAAATCTTTGCAGTGGCCAAATAACGGAAAGGAAGAGAAATTCAACAGTAACTCTAAGCCCATTTAAGTACCACAGGCAAACCATAACCAGTGGCTGAGATGACAAGAAAGTGACAAATCAGGTAGAGTTGCTTATAATTTCCATGCAGTAGAATTAGGGGGAATCTGTGTGTAGCGTCTTTTTTTCAGGTTCAGACTTTTGTTTGTCCTTTTCTGAGGACTTGATGAGGAATTAAATGTAAGAACTGCATGGCTTGAGTTGTACTGTTTCCCAAGTACCTTTATTTTGGCCAGCTGCCAAGCAGAGCTTGCTTTGACCGCTGTGAAGTGCACATGCAGTCCTGCTATCCTTCAGGAACAGTTCTGTTGTCTCAGAAGAAATCTATGGTAGCTTTGAAAATTATATTCTTCATTGTTGCTATATTCTCCAGTAAATCCTACATGAAAGTGATGTTTTCGGTCAACAGTATACACCTCTTCAGTTGTCGCTGCCATACCCTGCCACTGTTCCAAAGAATATTATTATTTTATGTGCACCAGACCTGCTTTCAGTTGAGCATCTTCTTTGCTTGGTGCATTTGGCTGAACCCAATTTTTTTCTGTCCTGGAGAGCAAAATGTCATCATTGCAGCAAAGTGAAAGCCTATTGGAATTTTATTTTTTATTTTAAAGGACTTAGTATTTGCTTTCTGCACTTGTACATCTGCTTTCCAAATTATTCATCTGTTAAGTGCAGAAAAATCTCAAAAGCAGATAAGCTTCCTTTTCTGCAAGTGAAAAGTCTACATGTCTGCAGAGCAAATGGTGCCAACATGGTAGCTGGAATGCATAGGAAATCAGCCTATGTTTTAAAGGCAGAAGGAATAGGCAACTTTCATTCTGCAGAAACTGTAATAGAACTCTCTGCCTGGGTGGCAAATAAACAAAACCTCAGGAAAGATGCTTTTGTTAAGTTGTTGTGAAGTATGATGTTTGACCTCATATTTTTATACTGTTGATTGGCTCCTGTGCTTATTCCCTTGTGCCTGAAGTGACCTTACCAAGCTGATTTTATGTGGCATGGCATAATATGAATGTTTAATTGCTCTTCTTTTCACAAATATTCTGGCTGTGTTAGGACATCTGGGCATTTGTTTTGTAAATTATAAAATTTCATCATAGTCCTGTATCCAGCTACACAGCTGCAACTGGGATTGTATTTCTTCATATACAACAGGATTTCTGATAACAACTTGTTATGCTGGACTTTGTATGGGGCAGCCTTGCCTTCATTTCCTCTCCCATGCTATTTGAAGAACAGTTCAGGCCTAAACTGGTTTGTGTTAGGTTAGCCTTCAGATATCCCAAGGCTGTTTTGCAAAATGAGTATCACTGAAGGTAACAACAGTGGTATTTCCAATGTTTTTCTTTTTCTGGAATGCTGTATACCTATTAAAATCTATCATCAATGCACAAAACTGTATGCTGAGGACATTGTGCAAAGGTGGAAATTTGTTTTAGAAAGGTCGGTACACTTGGATATAAAAGCTTGTAGCATTTAAGTAGCAGGGACATTACGTGTGAACTTCCCTGAATGTCAGGTTGCAAGGGGATGGGTCAAGGGTCATTTTAAGACTCATATTGCTTAGCCTATCTTGAACAAAATCAATGGATTCCACTGGGATTACAGCTATCAACTATAAGAGTGGGGCAAAAGCAGTCATCTGAGTACCTGCCACAGCACCCTAGCATAACATTGGCTCTCTGGGAAGGATTTTATAATCTCTGACCACATGGCTGGATCATTTAAACATTCTCCTAGTCCAGAAGGGCAACTCATATTAAAGAGCACCTCAGTGATCAGTGAACCATTTTCTTTTAAGCTACAAATCTTTTTATCTGTAAAAAAATCTTGCAACAATGATCACATCAAACTTTAGACACAAGTTACTTTTAAATGCATCTCTTTGTTGAATGTATGGAATATTTCAATAGTGCTCATTTTGATTATGAGTTGTACTGATATTTTTTTTAAAAAATAAATCAGTTATGCACAGTCTAATTGCCATTGCTCTTTTCAAATATAAGATGGGTAAGAAACTGCCTTTTGGTAGAGTGGATATCAACATGTGTATTGCCATTGGAGCATAAAAATAGATGTACATGTAACGGCACTTCAATACAGTACATATGCAAACAAATTCACTTTCTGATTTTCTAAGATTAGAATATGATGGTTGCTTTTCATTGGTAAGTGTCTACTAGTTTTAGGGACCAAAGTCTTCAGATCAAGACCAAGATAATCCACAATCTTATATTACTGTTCACCATGGATGGTTGGAAAAGCTGGATAGTAAAGAAAGCTGACAGGAAAAAGATTGTTTCTTTTTAAGCATGGTGCCAGAGGAGAGCTTTGCTAAAAAGACAAAGTGTGTCATCAAATCAACTGGAGGCAAAAATGATGAAACTGAGGCTATCCTACTTTGGGCTCATTAAGAGAAGACAGGATTCTCTGGAAAAGATAATAATGCTGGGAAAGGTTGAAGGCAGCAAGAAAAGAGTTAGACTAAATAGGAGGTGGATCAGTTCCCTAAAGGAAGTTATAAGCTTGAGTTTGCAAGAGCTGAGCAGAACAGTTGAGGACAGGACATTTTGGAGATTGTTTATTTATACGGTCACTGTAAGTTAGAGACAGCTTGATGTCCCATAATTAGAGAGGTACAGATATTCTTGTCAGTCTCCTGTGAATAAAGGTCTCAGTCCTTTCAGATCATCAGAATGGTTATTTAATTATTTTCAAAGAATTCTAATATGTGCATTTTGCTGATGGCTCTGATTAGCCTCTTTTACTAATGTTGTTTTCTTTTGATGCATGGGTGAGCAAGGCGTTGCTCCAACACAGTGTTCAGATTCATACTAGTTACTGATTTACACTTCCAAATGATGAAATAGATGGATGTTCGGTCTGATTCATGAAGCTGCCTCTTATGTTCTCTCATGTGAATTATTTATTTATTTATTTATTTATTTATTTAATTTATATGCCGCCCACACTACCCAAAGGTCTCTGGGCGGCTTACAGCATTATATTGCAATCATGTGATTATAATGTCTATAATGAGGGGGATGGTAAACAAATATTGGGTTAAATCCAGTGTTAGTCCTATCTGGAATACACCTATTTAAATCAATGGCCCTTGATTCTATTTAAATCAACAGGGCTTCAACACAACTATTTTTATTGAGATTGGAACCATGGAATAGAAAGACTTTCTCAGATGATTTTTTCCAGTCTTTTTTGCAAGAAAAGTTAGCAGATGTCTATTTTGAAAGTATCTTGAGCAGAATCGTTGAAACGAATGCATTCAAATACTGCTTCATTAAAAGGCAAGATAACACTTGTACACTGCATGAGGCATATCTCCAGCAGTTCTAGCCTGGTTTCATCTGTTAAATTCTTCTTTGCAGTCCAGATCTGGAATCCTTATACGATCCCTGTCAAATGTACTTGATGCTACTGTCTGACATCTGAGCCAAACCTATAACCTGTGCATGATGGGGCTGGCACACTCTCCAAAAAGTTGGTAGGTGGAAGATCCAAGCGGCCAGGTACAAAATCATCCCACACTGTGACATGGTGTAATGCACTGTTCCCTTGGTTTCAAACAATGTTGCTTTAATACAGCCAACATATTTTGGATATAAAACAAGGAACTGACATTTTGTTTTATCTAGAAAACTGAAAGAAATGGATACAATGTTATTTGTGCCACTTAACATTATCTAACTCTCCTTTGGCATGGTGGTATCTGGATTAAGGCAGGAGCTGTTGCTGTTCTGCTATAAAAATTAAAGTGTTCCATAAAGCATTCTTACAGAAGACCCTTGTGGAAGCAAGAAAAGAAGCATGACTAATGTTACCTGAACAGAGATGGGGGAGGATCCTGCAAAGATGAGAAACAGGGAGGACATTGTGCTCATGGTCGTTGTATCCTGACTTAATTTTAAAAAAAGAGAGAGCCAGATATGAATACTAAAAGCTGACACTAGCAAACGTATTCTGAAACTATGGGAAGTGACAGGGTGTCAACAGTAGCATCAATCACTTCTTCCAGAGCATTTAGTGTAACCCCAGTGACAAAAGAGTGGGAACTGACAATACGTACTTAGTTACCACTCAGGCATCCTGACTTGGTTAAGTGCAACGTCACTGTTCCCAAGTGCTGATCCTCTTAGTAATCAACAGGCATCCCTGTATACATTGCTGGTAACCAGCATTCTGACTCAGAACCAGAAAATAATTGTCTAGAAGTATCATTACTGCTGAAAGTAGGTAAGACTTGCTCTAATCTCTGCTTGTTGGAGAGCCATTGTGGTTAAATTGCTGGACTGGAACTTTGGGGTGATCCAAGTTTTCAGTCCTCACTGAGCCACAAATCTCATTGTGTGGCATTGGGCAAGTGATAAAAATAATCAAGTGATGACAGGAGGGAAAGCCTGCTTAAAGAGCAGATCTCTGAAGGGAGACTCTTCCAAAGGCGAGGGGCCACTGCCGAGAAGGCCCGGATTCTTGTTCTTTCTCTCCGGGCCTTCCTTGGTGTTAGGCCCTTCAGCCGCCCTTCCAGCCTAGAACGGGTGATTCGAGTAGATCTAGGTGGGAGGAGGCGTTCTGCTAGATATTGAGGTCCTAAACTGTTTAGGGCTTTATATGTCATCATTAACACTTTGAAATCAATGTGGAAATGGGCAGCCAATGCAAGGCAGCCAGAATGGGGGAAATATGCCAATACTGTATTTTCTTGTCCCACTGAGAAGTCTGGCCGCTGCATTCTGCACCATTTGAAACTTCCACATCAATTTCAAAGGT